CAATAATGTTGGCAAATATCACAGTTTTTGCCGTAATAAGGTGCGACTTGAATGTGAAGGCGACTTGAATGTTGAAGACAACTTGTTCACCTGGATTTGAAGACGCTAATTTGCAGGCATTTGGTTCCAAATAACAAGATATAAATACCCACCTATGGGTATCAAAGATGAATGATTTTGCACAAAACCTATTAATTACATTACGAGAGACGCTAATGGGAGAGGAGAGAGAGAGGTGGACGCAGGAGAAATGGAGGGGAAGCAGCAGCTTGAGAAAGCTAGGGATGTGAAGAGAGTATCACAGGTGGGTTTGGGTAGAGAAAGACTGACATGAAAGAGAAAGGTACACAACTTGTGTCGGGACCTTATATGGGTTTTCGAGGCTAGAGACAGAAATGGTAAGAGCAAAATTTTAGCTACAATTTAGTCGGCAAACCCAAATTTTTTTTATTGAGATTTGAGTTGAGATCAATAGTAATCTTTAGGGGAGCCATACCATCGTGTGTGGCAAGGTCCTATCGGATCATTACTCTAAGATAATATATATTGTAATATATTTTGTATTTTGTATATATTTTATTAATATATATTTGTATTATATATAATATAATAAATATATAGTATAACATAAGATATTTATATATGATATATAATATATAATATAATATAACATCAATTAAAATAATACATATTATATATAATATATAATAAAACTAATATTATGTATTTATATTATGCATATAATATCTAATATTATATAATATAGTATAATATAAAATACTATGTTATAGTATTTTATAAATTATTATTTATTTATTAATATTATATATTGTTGAAATATAATTTATATATCAAATCTATTATTTAAATAGTTAATAATGAATAGCGATAAAAACATTCGGAAAGATTAAGTTCCTACTCCCCCTTAATAATTTAAACTTTCATATTTTAACAAAAAAATGGAAACTTTGTTGGAAGATATCTTTAGAAAGAAATAAAAGGTCTAACGCATCATATATGAAACTTTTACAAAATTTAAAAGATTTCAGCCAAACAAACAGGCCCTTAAAAAGAGAGGAGAAGGTGGTCCGTTTGATTTTTGGCCCATTTAAAGTTTGATACTCTATTAATTTTATTAATATATTGAAGTTTCTCTTTAGATTTGGCGTGTGCATGATTTCAATAGTATTTTCACTTTTAATTTTATTAATACATTGAAGTTTCTCTTTAGATTTGGTGTGTGCATGATTTCCATAGTATTTTCACTTTTAATTTTATTAACATATTGAAGTTTCTCTTTAGATTTGGTGTGTGCATAATTTCCATAGTATTTTCACTTGTACACTAGTATTTATTGTGCCTATAATTTTTGGCTGCATGACTCAAAAAGTGGTATCCACACTTTTGGTTCTTGGTTTTGGAAAATTGTTTCATGCGTACGGGGACGCATTTCGACATTTACATTCCCCAAGGTATAAAGCCTCGAGCTTAAAGATGGATGCAAATGAGTGGTCCATCTAAAAATAATTGAGGTTAACGATCTAAATGTTTCTTTCATAAAATTAATATTTTTAATTTTTAAAATTTATTTATTTATTTGTAGCTGTATGTTAGAAATTATGTCCATGAAAATTAAGTCCAAAATTCCATCTAAAGAATAGATTTTTGAGAGGGGACACATTTCTACATAGACTAATAGAAACCATGTCCTTTGGTTTTTGGGGCCAAGTTATTTTCCGAGAGTCAGTCTAATAGAATTCAAATGATTATATGCGTCCCCTGGTTCACATAATAGAAATATGAACGATTTATGGCATCATCCTACAAGGTACCTAAGGCGCCATAGGCATGGGCTGGCTATACTTGCCTTCTTTTTCAAGACATTTGGTTCCCGTGTTTCACAAAACCCTACATTTTTCCAGGAGCTGGTTCAGCATTAGTTTTGCTGCACAGCTCAAGTTTCAAACCCCCTTAAACGGCAAAAATTTTCCCCGTAATTTCATGGACACGGTTTCTATGAGTCCATTGAAAAATGAGTCGTTGTTTAAAAATCTACTATTGAGATGAATTTTTTGACCTAATTTTTAGGAAAAATGAGTCACTGTTTAAAAATCTATTGTTGAGATGAATTTTTTGACCTAATTTTTAAGGATATGTAATTTATAATATGGAGATCATGAATATGAAAAAATAAATAAAATTTGAAATTTAAAATTAATAAATCTAATAAAAGAATATTTGGACCATTAATTTCAATTATTTTTAGATTGGACCACCCATTTTCATCCATCTTTAAGATGGATGTTTTATACCTCGAAAATCGCAAATGTAGAAATGTGGTCCCCCACCGCATGAAACAATTTTCCTTTCTTTGTTCATTTAATAACAACATTAGTGTTACAAGCTGTATACAAATTGTATATAGCAAAAGTAGTTTGGCAGATAATCCCACCTTTTATGGTGAGGACGGAGCCTTTGGAAGAACATAGGTCCCATAAGATGTGGTATTATCCCATCTTTCCTGGGTTCCATATGATGATGTCCAATTTTCAAAGAACAGAGTCCCATGTCTTGTGGTGTTGCATTTATGGCGCTTCAGATTGAACTCATGGAAGTCAAATTAGTGAAGGAGAAATTTACCCATACAACATTCTTTTGCCGGTATTGGACCTCGTGAGCGTGATATTGGGATGATTGAGAGAGGGGGAACATGTGAGCCTGATAATGTGATGATTGATTGAGAGAAAGAAAGGTTATTTGGATTAAATTTAAAGCGCAATAATTGAGGAAAATTTTGAGGTAATAAGACGGGGAGACTCTTCTAACCAGGGGAGACAATTTAGGAAGAGCGCGTATACATGTTCCCTTGGGAGCATGGTTTACATCTGCTCCCTTAGTCAGATGACCTACTTGGGAGGAATTTTTCAATCACAAATTTTTAGTAACCTACTTAGAATCACTAGATGATAATTCTCAAAAAAAAAAAAATTAAAATTTGAGTTTTCTATCACTTTGATCACAACCTCTAAAAACTGAATGGTTTATATTCAACCTATGGACATTATTTATTGAAAGTGCTTAGAGGGTGCAATTAAACAAAAAACTTTATTGAGGTTAATCTATCTGTTAAAGAGATTATATCCCTAAAAATTTGAGTCTTAAAACTAATCCTATGTGGTAGGGGTGGCAATAGACCCAAATCCGACCTTGGACACGTCTGGTATACCTGACACAAGTCTGGGTAAGAGTCCAATATTTAGACCCAGTGGGTGGGGTCGGGCTCCGAAACTTTGACCCGAATATTATTCAAGTACGGGTCCGGTTACGGTTGGACTAGTACTCGTAAACTATTGTAGATAAAATACTTCAATCCCTATTCATTTGGGTGTATTAAGTATCTTATATAATACAAACTCATAATTATCTTTAGCTATTAAACGACAAATCAAAGTGCTTGAAATCTAATGGCACATCATTGTGACCTTGTTGCCAATAATATGGGTATATGATGGTAAAAAAAAAGGCAAAAAAAAAATGCTCATAGTGACGGTGCTAATGGACTCGACTAGACCCAGGACCTGACGGGTACAGATATGGATCCAAGTTCTGGACCCGACGGGGTCGGATCCGGGTCCAAAACCTATACCATTCGGTTCTGGGTTCGGTCTGGATCGGACCCGTTGCCACCCCTACTAGGTGGTTTTTTACCCAAGGAGTTAAATGAACAATATATTCGCAAGGGAGTAAAATATCTTTAGGCTTTTAAGAATTTAAAAGGAGAAAGAGAGCCCGAATCTAAGCCTTTTGAAAAGTAAGGGATTTTCAACTACTTGAAAAGTTCAATCAATACTTGAACAATGCAATTATGCAGCACCGAGCTAAGTCGTTTAATCAATTATAAAATTTTCTGGTTAAAAAACAAAAAATGCTAGGATCCATATGGACTACTTTTTCCATTTACATCTCCACTAAAACCCAATTGATGAGCATTTTTAGGCCCTAAATTTTCGGGAAAAAATCTCGTTACTCTATCAATAACCTCAATACAAAATTTGGAACACTCTTTACGTGGCTGAAAAACATAAGGATTGTATACACTGAGACAATTTACCTTTTACAAAATTTGGAACACTCTTTACGTGGCTGAAAAACATAAGGATTGTATACACTGAGACAATTTACCTTTTTTTTTTTAGCATAATGTCCTATGCAGAAAAATGACTGTAGAATTTTTAATCATTCTAAGTATAAGAACTCAAAATCTAAAAAAACAAAAATTCTAAATAATAATCTAGTGATTCTTCGATGGATCCCAATACCTCAAATAAAATAAAAAAACTCGTTCTAGGTGGCTCGTTTGCCCAAGAGAGTAACTGTACACTATAGACCTATGGTAGCACGCAATATGCGCCCATGATCTAATTTTCTATTTAAAACCAATTTTATATGAGTCGTCAAATGCTTTCTTGGATTTTTCCTTCGAACAAGTTACAAAGGGAAGGGATAGTACATATGTAAAAGGCTAAGATTTTATTCCTTCTCAGTGGATTACTTTCTTTTAGCTTTTTATCCCAAGAGATCAATGAGAACGATTATAAATAAGAGTGCATGTATTTAAAAAATTTTAAAATATGAAGGTCGGTCAATTTATTTTTATTTTTATTTTTTTCAAAATTACCTTTCCTTCGAAGACATTTCGTCCGACCAAATTTTAATTATTCTTTTTAGTTTTTTTTTTCCAGTAAAGCACTACCCTAACCCTTGGGGCACTGCCCTACTAACTAAAAAACTAACAAAAATAAAAAAAATTTGGACTGAGGATTCCAACCTCAGGCCTAAGGACAATTTTGCAATTGGGTTGACAATTCTTCTTAAATTCTGCCAATAAACGAGGCATTTTGTGTTTTCGAAAAAAAATTAACGTCCATGCGTAAATCACTCTATAAATAAAGTTGAGTGGAGATGGGTAAGTATCACCAAGGGAAGAATAGTGTTGTTTTCTCTAATTTTGACAGAAATGATGCTTAACCTACGCATCATCTCTACTGAGTCCATTAAGCCATCTTCTCCTACACCAGAACGCCAGAGGACCATGAAGCTTTGCTTCATGGATCAGATGGTTTCGACAACTTACATTCCCCTCATCTTCTTCTATACTATGAAAGAGGAAGAGCCCCACTCACAAAGGTTGAAGCAATCCCTTGCCCATATTTTGACCTCCTTCTATCCATTGGCAGGGAGGATTCAATATGCCCAGGAAACTGGAGAGATATGGGTCGAGTGCAATGACGAGGGGGTCGAATTCAAAGAAGCTCAAGTGGAGGGTGACCTCTCTCTGTTTTTAGAGAGGCCGCCGATAAACGAGATCAAGAAACTTTTACCCTGTGAGCCCTTGAGCGGAGGAGCCACCACCTTGTTAGTTCAAGCGAACTGGTTCAAGTGTGGGGGATTGGCATTAGGTATTTGCATGAGCCACATGGTTGGCGACATGGCCTCCCTCGCCGATTTGATGAACTGCTGGGCTCGAGTAAGTCGCAGCAGCGATAATAAGAAGCTAAGCATTCTGGCACCAAGGTTCGACTGGCGCTCCCTGTTTTCTCCAAACCCACTCAATTTGAGTTTCGAGCCTCCGTCGCTGGCAATTCAAGCACCACCCTTAACAAAGGTCTTCATTTTTCAAAGGGAACAAGTTGAGGCATTAAGGGATAATGGCAGGGAGACATCAAACCCGCGACCTACCAGTGTAGGTGCAGTGTCGGCGCTGCTCTGGCGGTGCCTTATCAAAGCGCGGTACAGAAAGACTGGGAAAGATGGGACATGGCATGCAGTTTATGCTGTCAACATAAGAACGAGGATGGAACCGCAGGCTCCGGATGGATCCTTTGGGAACCTCAGTATGGGCGCCCATTGCCTTATCCATGACCCAATCGAAAGTGCAACACCTCCGAGCAGGAGACAGCTCGAGAGCTGCTTAAGAATGGGGATTCAGGAGTTGAGCTGTGAGTTCCTGAAAAAAGTGCAGGAATCACCTCATATCCTTGAAGAAATGATAGGCTCTATCACGGATAGAGCGAGCAAGGGTTACGCGTTTGGGATCTCAAGCTACTGCAAGTTTCCACTGTACGAGTCGGATTTCGGGTGGGGGAAGCCGGATTGGGTCAGCAGCGTGGGCGGTTTCATAACCGGTGTAGCCTTCCTTTTTGATGATCCATCAGAGAATGGCATTCAGGCCTGGGTGAACCTTGGTGAGGAAGAGATGGCCCACTTTGAATGTGATCCAGAGCTCCTCGCATTTGTTTCAAAGCAAATGTAATTTTCAATCGGTTTTCATGTTTGGGGCACAAGTGCAATGTCATCTGAAATTGTGTGGGAGACTATGTATTGGTATGCACATTTCTTACTTCAACATCCTTTTTGTCAATTTGTTTTCTCAATTTCCCTTACTGTCAAAGCAATTCAAATAAAGCGAGATATCCCTATTCAACCGCAGTTGTTGGAGATCAGCTCTACTGCTGAAACCATTTTATGCCCTGCACTTTGAGTATTTTAGCTGCAACACGTTCAAAGTTGATGGAAATTGATGCAAACTAATTATTAGGCTGTAATGTGTGTAGCATAGGTGATTCGATCGGAACTGGGCACTTGCCGATCCCAGTTAACCCTAGTTTTGGAGGTCCACTTAAGGAGACTTAGCCCTTGGCTGGTTTACCGGTTGCTCGGACCCGGCCCTTGGCTGGTTTCCTGGGCTGGTTCAGTATTTTGAACACTGCATGGGCTGAATTGAAAGTGTTGACTAGGTGTACGATTTTGGTGCTGATTGGGTGCGAAGCAAAAATCAGGCTATCTGACTACTGACCACCCGATTAGATCGAAACCGGTCAGGTTTCGGCCAATTTTGGTGACCTGCCAGGATTTAAAAAAAAATTAAAAATACTTTCATAAAATTCAAAAAAATAAGAACTTTTATTCGTAATGAATTTTTTAATATGTTTCATCATTATGACAAAGATTGAAAATTGTTTTGGCCATTAATACTTTTTGTACATTTCCCATCTTTTTTGGAAAGCTTCAATAATATCTCTGGGCACAAATTGAGTCTTTAAAATTTAGATTTTTCTTTAATTTTCAACTTCATTTGGATGTGTTTTGTTTAATCATTCTTTAAATATACTTTTCATAAGTTTTTATATTTTTTTTTATTTTTTTAAGACTTTTTTGAGTGTCAAGGACTTGTTTGGTTGGAACGGTTGAAATGATCATTTTTACAGGTTAGGCCGGTTGAACAGCTTTCAGGCCCATGTATGCTTAACTGTACTGGTTTGATTCTTTCTACATTGATTGGGCGTGAGTCTAATTCATTTAGATAGTGTTGAACTGCTTCGTTTAGAAATATAAATATGAGTAATAATTGACTGAAAAATCCACTCAAAAAAGGCTTTCCACCGGATTAGAAATAATTGATTGAACTTCCCCCTTTAGATGTGGTAAGATTTCGAACTCTTCGTAAAACTTTTATTGCCTATTAGAGATAGGTTTCCCCTGAGAATACTTCCAGGATTGCATCTTCACTGAAGGTGGGTTGTTTGTCTCAATTGACAAAAGTTTTGGTAATGAAGGTTGAGGATAAGAATATCTCCATGGTCATCAACATGCTCTAGGGCATGAATCATGCCATTTCCAAGTGTCCCTTTTTCCTTCTCCATTTCATCACTCATAACTGGATCTTTAGGCCTTTCAACTTGATGGATAGCAAGACCATTAGTTGAACCATCTATTGTGACAAGTCTAACTCTGCAACTAGCTAGTCAACAGTCTAGTGCAGCTACCGAATCTCGAATCCGGCAAAACTGAACTTGCTATTATACCAACTTGCTATTATACCAACTTGATGTAATGCGACAGGGGCCTGCAAAGTGTCGTTGGGAATCTTTCGATCAGTTTGTGGAGGGATTACTCGAACCCAAGAAGGACTAACTCAACTCCAAGGATAACAAACAATAATTTCCAAACAAATGCCTTGTTTCTTCTTTTATTCTCATGGATAAACATATTTTCAAATACTCAAATCATAATTTCATGGTTCCTTTGTTTACCCATTCAATATCTATGCCAATGATTTCAATAAGTGTAGCAATGGGCCAGGATGACCCGGCCCGGTTCATCTCAGCACGGTCCTAAAAATGCAACGGCTTGGGCCATGAAATGTGGCCCAAGGGCCAAGCCAAGGCCAGGCAACCATGGCCTGAGGGTAGGGGCAAGCTAGGCCGGGCCTGGTCCTTCCCAATTCGGCCAAGCCAAGCCCTCTTTTTCTTTGCTTTTTTCTTTTATTTTATTTTTTATTTTATTTGGCCCATCCTAAACTTGATAACTCTAGGACTGGGCCTGGTCTAGGGCCTTTTCTGCTCGATTAGCGCCAAGCCAGGCCTAGTCTGGCCCTATGGGGACTAGGGCCAGAGGTGTATTGGCCCAGGCCCGGCACATTGCCACCTCTAGATTACAATGCAATCCTAACTCTTGTGCAATCTTTCCTAATGCAATATTTATTAATGCGATATTTTAATTGCGTGGTTGTAAGTATGGACTAGAGTCAATTAAGAAAAGAAAATCAAATTTCATGATCCACTCCCAACCATTCAATTTAAGATCCAATGGCCACGAGGGATTGTCACCTCTTTGAGACAGTGATAAATGATGTCATAGTATACAATCCCTTCAGCTTAAGTACTTAAGTTGGTTCCATCGGTTGTCCCAATTGACAAGTTTTCGTAATGGTGGTTGACAATGGGAATGACCATCCCACCACATCGCCATGGTTATCAACATGCTCTAGGGCATCAATCTCTCTTCTTCTTCTCCATTTCATAAATCACCAATTAATCTTTAGCGTTTACAACTCAATAGACCATGATGTCCATTAATTGCAGCATATATTGAGACAAGTCGTTCATAGACTACGCAACTAAGGTCGCAACTGTCTCGTCCCAACATGGCCCAGTGGAGCCTGTAACGACGGCCGCCCTTGATTTATACCTGAAGCGGCCGCACGGTGTAGCTCGGATTGATATATACCTTCTTCCAATCAACTAAAATTTCTCATTCCAATGGCTTCTTTTTTCTTTTATTTTTCATTGACTAACCTTTTTTTCAAAGACTGAAAATCATATTTTCAAGACTCATGCTATTTATTCACACAAACAACTTTCAAACGAATCCTATGCAAATTTAGTTCCTCTGCAGCAGTTCCCAATACAATCTTTCCAAGTTCCCAATACCTCCTGTGCATTCTTTTTCAATACAAAATAAATAATTTTCATGCATTTGCATTCTCTCACGCAGCAACAGCGCCTAGATTAAACATACTATCTGCCATTCCAGTGTTAGCCTAGGCCATCCAGATTACCATGCGGCATCAATTTCCTCATGAATCGACAGCTGAAGGTCCGCTCAATATAAAGGCTGCGGTCCCCTTAATGCAACACATACACCTGTTTCCTCAATCCTTAGAGCCTTAGAATTTCGTTTTTATATTTGATTATCCATTAATAGATATAGGGCCGGGAATGGATCAGGTTGGGCCTAAGTCAATTGGACATAGACCCGGCCTACTCGTTCACGTTGTATATGGGTCTATAAGTAAAAAATATATAAATAAGGAAAAAGCTTGGATACACCCTTTCTCGTATAAGAAATGGGAATGCCCAACGGTTCATATTTGTTCATCGTATTCGAACGGTGATGCTTATATCTTTTAGGTCATCTCACCTGACAGAGGACCAGACATTCGCAGGCGTCTCTGGCAGGTCTACTTCTTGTTTTCCCCTCTCTCTCTCAGCTGATCCTCTTTGTCTCTCTAAGCTGATTTCTACTTGCAGCCGTGCCTCCCTCTCATAAGAGCATTTCGATTTCTCTCTCTCAGCTGATTTCTACTTGCAGCCGTGCCTCTCCCTCATCAGAGCATTTCGATTTCTCTCTCTCAGTTGATTTCTACTTGCAGCCATGCCTCTCTCTCATGAGAGCAGTTCGATTTCTCTCTCTCAGCTGATTTCTATTTGCAGCCATGCCTCTCTCTCATCGGAGCATTTTCATTTGCTCTATTTATCGATACTTGATTCATGTCGTCTACTTCTCTATTGGGTGTTCTGGACTTGTAGATTTATCTATCAATGCCATAGGTCATGCTATAATTTTTGTTTGTTTTATGCCATGGAGTATGCGAACCATTCTGATTAGGGTTTTTTTTGGAAACCTACTGTCACACCCCAAGAATTTACAATACAGATATTCTTGAGATGTGATAGTCAAAACATATATACATTTCTTGATAGGACAAATTTACAGTGGCGAATTCTTATAAAGTAACAAAAGAAAGCTTAAGCACAACTACAGTATCTTTCAAAGTTGAACCTGACGAGCACTCAAAATGAAACCGCAGTTATCCTGAAAAAAATGTTTACCATAATTTGATGAGTTTGGCTACTCAGTAAGTGATCATCATAATCCTAAAAATAATCATGATTTAAAGATATCAATATTTTCAAAAAGGAGATCTATTAACAGAAATGCATTAACGGTTTCACTTTAAAAAAAAATGCATAATAAAGTATAATTTGAATAATTGAAATGCGCATAACATTTTAACGGTAATGCATAATTCAAAAGATTTCATAAATTACCTTATTGGCGTCCCAAGTAGGTTACCTATATACCCCATCAGCGCCTGATGGGTCCACTTAATCCCTATCGGCGTCCCAGATAGGTTCACTTAATCCCTACTGGTCCACTTATACCTCACCGGCGTACCAGATGAGTCCACTTAATCCCTACCGACATCCCAGATAGGTCCACTTATACCTCACCGGTAAACCGTATGAGTCCACTTGCATACTTAAAGTATTTCTAAATCTCTTTAAACATTCGAAAGCAGCATTATCATGTACTTAACATGTCACTGAAATTATTAATATGAATTTCACTGAAACCATTAATAACAATCACTTTCAATAACATTTCTAAAATAACCAGTCAAATATTTTGGGCTCAAATAAAGAAAGGCAGCATTTTGTAAAGACATTCTAGCATAATTGTCAATCTAATATGGATAGAAAAACTCTTATAGAAATTCACGAATATAGAATTATCACAATTTATGGGATGTCAATTCGCAAATGAATATTTCACAGACAATGCTATAATCAATTACAAAAATATCAGTTTTCAGATAATAAGACAGTCATTTGCACATGAAATTTACAATGTCTAAATATTCAAAAACAGTAGAAAGAAATCTCACAATTTTACTAAAAGCAGAAATATCACATTTATTTTTAATAATTTTACAGTATCTAAAATTTTTCTAACAATAGACAAGAAAAATAAAT